CACAGGTCTTCAGTGTTGCTAGACGTCCGATTGCTTCAAGACGGGACCAGTCAGCGATTCTATCTCTTGGCTATCATTGCACGACAGAGAGAAAGGGAAATTTTAAAGATTTCTAAACAAAATACAGCAGTGGGCCGAATTGCTCAATTCAATTAGTTTGAAAAGCAATGCGTTAATAGGGGTATGAGCCAATGTTTTTAAAATTACCATTTTCTCAAGAGAGCTGAACCGGGATTCCTAGGAGCATATAGATTGTCATACGAGGCAAAATAATAGGAGCACCTTTAGAAAAGGTATCATGGACCATCATTAATACCAAAACATTCTTGCTAATCAAAAGTGGCTTTCTCCTAAACCACTTTTTGGCCAAGGTCAACGCATCATGTTCAAACACGATAAAAATCCTAAGCATACTACCTTAAATAATAAATGTTATCTAGAAAGGAAGTGCGACAAGGGTAAATTACAACTCTTCCAGTGGCCTAGTCGGAGTCCTGACTTTAACCCAGTTGTAAACCTTTACATGATAATGGAAATGCGTGCTTGTAATATGAAAGTTAACACAGAAGATGAGCTTTTTGTGCTGGCGAAGTACGTTAACTTACTAAAGAATATAGTCTATAGCATGCCACTATGAATCAAGCTCCTTATTAAAGCAATTGGTTAACCAAGAAAATACTAAACAATTTTTTGACTTCTATAATGTACTTATGTACACCTGTATTAATTCACTGTATTAATAAACGAATTTTATTACTCACTTGTCTTGTAAAAAATACAAAAATTCACTTTCTATGGGTGCGTCCATTTTTTTTTTTGGCCTCGTATATATATATATATATATATATATATATATATATATATATATATATATATATATATATATATATATAATACTTTGTTTTACCAAAGCGTTTTATTCTCTGGTCAACTTTTTCAAGGTGAATATAATGATTTCATTTTGCAACATGTGTTTATAAAGAGAAGTGAAAATGTTACGTTTTCAAAATAGATAATGTATGAATACATACTGCAAAATAATTTTTTTACATTTACTTTGATAAAGTCCATCAGAGGACGAAACATGTTGGTAAAGAAAAGTTTATCTTTTGTCGTCATTCATATTGATTTTTACAGATATATTTTTTATATCTAATTTTTTACTGAAAATGGAAGAGACTGACATTAATCTTTAAACGCAAAGATGATTTAAGCAAAAAAATGCCTGCTACATAGTGCACAATACTGTGTGTGTGCCGTATATTGTAGTATCTGATATTGTTTTGAAACATACTTTCATGAACGTTTTTGCCAAGTCAATAACTTATAAATCCGTCGGGATTACATAAACCCAATTTATTATATACTGTCGACATGGAGAACGCATGGATAAAAACAATTTTTGTCATTTATTTTCTATCCATTCTGAAAGATTTCCATCTTAAAATCTGGAAACTTAAGACGGAGAATATAAAATGTTAAACGAAATTTTTTTAAACACACTCATTTTCTTTCTTTTTTATTCTCAGGCAAAGCCAGCTTGTGAATAATAATACAAGATTTCATTATTTTAAACAGACACAAATGCATACACACACTACACATTTTCCTTTATCCGAAATTCATTATCGGATATTATTTTCTAAACATATTTTCATGCACTTTTTTCTAAATGTCAGTAAGTTATAACTCTGTCGAGATTACATACTTATATGGTCTGTCTATATTTCTGAGATGAGGTATTATGTACAGTATTTACATTAGTCGGACCATTGTCCTCATCTTTGAGGCCATATTTGTCACAACGTTTCGGCCGTTGTACGCTCCGGCCTTCTTCAGGTGGTTGGAATTTCGGACTGAATCCTTTATTTCGATCACTGGGGTAGACTTTTCTAGTTCCACGTGCCATGTTTGATGGATGTCAGTTATCAGTTATCTCCTGCTAATTTTCCCTCTGAAAGTTCTCCACTGCCTTAACCAGATATTGAACTCACCTTCTTTGGGTCTGTCACTGGATCTAACCAACGCCTCAAGGACACATAGCACAGTGGATAACTAGAACAGTCTACCCCAGTGATCGAAATAAAGGGTTCAGTTCGAAATTCCAACCACCTGAAGAAGGCCGGAGCGTACAACGGCCGAAACGTTGTGACAAATATGGCGACAAAGATGAGGACAATGGTCCGACTAATGTAAATACTGTACATATTTATATATATATATATATATATATATATATATATATATTTCTGTATATATATATATATATATATATATATATATATATATATATATATATATTTCTGTATATATATATATATATATATATATATATATATATTTCTGTATATATATATATATTTGTGTGTGTGTGTGTGTGTGTGTAATTTCTCTATATATTATTTATATATTATTATATATGTGCGGTACTTATTGAAAAGCGTTCAATATGATTGATACACCTAACATATTTTAGCTGTATTAATGTGAGTTTGTAACTCTGGATTTCACGCCCTTGCGATCGTCAGAGAAGAGGTTGAAACCCACGGTCACAAACTCACATCAGTAAAACTATATATATATATATATATATATATATATATATATATAAATATATATATATATATATATAATTTGAACAAAAGTTTTATACCACAGAATTTATATATTGTTTTAAAAATTATTGAGTGCACTCTTTTTCTTTGAAATCAAACATTTTTATCCAACACTTCTTCAGAAACTCAAACATACAAAAAACTATCATAAACGGTTAAACTGAAAATGTGCATGGGGTGGGGGTAATGAAGTATACACTAATAAATACATTTATTATTAAAACAACAAATAACTATATTAAAAAAAATGCAATCACGACGCACCCATGACACACAAAATCCCTCCCTGTGACCCGCAACAACGTCGTTCGATGAAGCTTTCACCTACCGAGCTTTGTGCAGTATCCTAAACGCTTCGCCAGAAAATTTCTAAACGCAACCCGGGTTATTCACCAAATATCGTCCAATCGTAGTGTTGGACGAAAAAGTCTTTAAAGAAAGGGAATGTGATCCGTCATTTTTAAATCAATATATAGCGGGACTTACTAAGAATTCAATTTTTTCAAGGATAGTAAATTAGTCCACACAATAAAAATGCTGAATTCAATAAAGTTAAACCTGCTCTTGTACAAAGATATCCTTTGTGCCTGCGCCTAACTTGGCTGGGTAATATCAGTGATAGATATGCTGAGCGGGTTTCCGTAGCGGTTCGACATTACTTTGCTGCTAACATTCGTGTAGTCTTTTCTGTCAAGCCTGTCATTCCTTCCATGCGGAAGGCTGTTCTCCTTCCACATCATGATAGTTCTCTAATTCATTCCTTTAAATGTGGTTGTGGTTCACACTACATAGGGAGAACGATTCAAAGGCTGGATGTCAGAATAAAGCAACACGTTCCAACAAAAATCTACAATCTTAAGTACACTCCTTCAGATATTCTGACAAATACATATGGGTCTTCCATCGTAGAGCACCTACTACTAAATAGCCTTAATTGTGCCATTAATTTCAGTTTGGACTCCTTCACTATTTTTACTAAGTCCCACTCGAATTCCCACTTGAAAGTGTTGGAGGCCATTTATATTTTGCCTTTGAAGCCCTCTCTGTGTAAACAGAAGGACTTCGTCCTAAACCTCCAACTAATTTCTATTTAAGCAATATTTCCCCTCCAATATATACTGTCCATCTTTTTAGTGATAATTCTATTATAATTTATTAACATCAATTTAGTTCTCTTGAGCGAGGTTCGAAACCGTTTAGGTAGGCCGTTTTACATTTTATCTATTATCATCATGAGTGATAATAAAAATAAATTTTGTCTTTTCATGTCCGTTATAAAATTTTGTACTACAAATCATATCTTTAAAGATATATATTTGAACTTTATTTCAATCATTCATAAGCTTCCGATCCTTAGCTATAATTAATTAATGGAGAGAAGAAAAGTGAACATTTATGTATGTGTGTATTTAGTGATTGCGAGAGATAGGGAGAGGGATTGACTGATATCAGGTGTGTGGAAAAGTTTTCAGCACTTTTAGTGGGGAATCTTGTGACTAAATGAATAGACAGTTGAAATCTGCTGGAGACTTTTGCATAAATTTAATCGACACAATCATATGTTAGGTATTAATGCATGCATTTTTAACTTACGTGTATCTTGTGTGTATATGTGTGTTTGTGTTCAATTGATTCATAACTAAAATTTAAATTCATTTCCTTACACCAGAGGGTAAAAAATAAATAAATACTTAAACCTTTCACTCAGATCACCGTTTAAATTTCTGCCCCCCCAAATTTTAACAAAATTAAAGAATTGCTTTCGTTTAAATCACGAATATCATGTATTTTCTTACTTTTTCTTTTGTCAAATTTTTAAGATTTTCTTTTACTATTCAACCTGACCATCCCCTGTTCTGATGTGTATAGAGTTGAATGAATAAAAATCACCAAGTGATGTCGTAGTTACGTCTTAATAGCAAAAAAGAAAAGATAAATCCCCTGAAAGCACCAAAACTTTTGCCCTTTTCATTTTCTGTTTTTCTATGAGAGATTTAACAAGACTTTTCAGAAACGGCTTCTGGTGACAACCAATTGATGTTAAACGTACTTTGTAATATCACGTGACGCAATTGTCATAAGTTATTTACTCTCGCCATCTCCCGGAGTCGATCCACTCCAGCCCTCTTTAAAAATTTAAAAGTTTAGGGAGTTGAGGGTTAGGTAGCGTATACGTACGAACCGCAGCTCCCTTCCACTACTTCGGGTTGCGTTCTTTACCGGAATCCAAGAAAAGCACGCGATTTAAGACAGTAGAATAGAAAGAAATAAACAGAGCGCCAACAGAATTGAAGATGAAGAGGAGAACGAAAAAAAGATGTGTTATACGGAAAAACTAATAAGATAGTAAGAACGATTAAACAGAAAAGAAAATTATTGAATAAATTAGGTAGATAGATAGATAGATAGAATGAAAGAAAACGAATATATAGTACTTAAATGATACCGATAAAGATAAGACATAGATAGATGAAATCGAAATGTCACAGAAAGATAGATAGACAGATACATACATGCATACATACATACATATGAAAATAGTGCAATAGATAGATAGATAGATAGATATGAAACGAGTGAGCTAGATAGATAGATAGATAGATAGATAGATAGATAGATATGAACGACTTATAAATTCTAAATGTCATAGATAGATATGAGGGCGCGATAAAGAAATAGATAGATATGAAAAGAATGTGATAGATAGATAGAAAAGAAATAGGTAGATAACGAACACTGATAAGTATATGAAATATATATATATATATATATATATATATATATATGTGTGTGTGTGTGTATGTATGTATATATATATATATATATATGTGTGTGTGTGTGTGTATGTATATATATATAATATATATATATATATGTGTGTATATATATATATATCTGCATTTCTATCTAGAGTGAGATAGATAGAAATGCAGATATGAAAAGAATGCGATAGGTAGACAGAGAAACATGTAGATACTTAACTGACACTGATAAGTACATGTCATATATATATATATATATATATATATATATATATATATATAGATAGATAGATAGATAGATAGATAGATAGATAGATAGATAGATAAGTAAAAAGAGAGAGTTTGAAGAGATGGAAAGACATCAAGGAAAAGAAAAAGAAGAAAAAAAAACGAATGCAAGAAAAAAGAAAGAAAAGATTGGAACCAGAAAGAAAAGTAATAGAGGAAAAAGAAAGAAATGGAAAGATGTAAAAAAAATATAAAAGTAAATGCGAAGAATGAAATGGAGAAAAAAGAAAGAAGGAAGGAAGGAAGGAAGGAAGGAAGGAAGGAAGGAAGGAAGGAAGGAAGGGAAGAAAGTTAAATATAAAAGGAAAGTAAACGTACGAAATAGAAACTTATATAATACGATCAATAAAAGGGGAATGGATAACAGAAATAGAGAATGAAAGGAAAAAAGAAAGATTGAAAAAAGAAAATAAATAACGAGAAATAAAAAGCAAGGAACGAAAAAGAAGAATATAATTAAGAAGTAAAAAAAGAAACAACTACAAGACTTTAAGCATGAAAAACGTTTACATTGATGACTAGAGTTCAGTACTTTGGAACAAAAATAGAAAGGAAGGGAGGCGTTAAAAAAGAAGGAAATTTAATGAAAGAGTATAAATTAATAAATTAATCACGCATAGAATTTCAAAAATGGAAAACGAATAAATGAAAGAGTGAAGAATTGTGAGCAAAATTTTGAAAGATCAACGAGGAAAGGTTAAAAAGGTGGAAAGACATAAAATCAAAGTAAAAGTATTTTAAGAAAGAAATGAAACACTAAGAGGCAGAAAATGAAGAAAGAAAGAAACAAACAATTAAGGCAGTGAGAAATAGATAAGGTGGAAAGAAATAGGAACTGACACTAAAAGCGAGGAAAGAATAAAGGATATAGGCAAAAGATGATAGGAGAAAAGAAGGTTCGGAAAAAAAGAAGGATAGAATATAAGAAAACAGGAACGAAACTGAATTGAGGAATAGTAGAAAAGAGTATAAGAAAAGGTAGATAAAAAACGGTAAGGATAGAAAGATAGTGAAAAAAAATATAAGGTAAAGAAAGAAAGAGAAAACAAATATTGAAGGCATAAAGGAAAAGAGGTAAAATTAACTCGTAAAAAAATTAAGAAAAAAGTGAAAAGAAAGATAGTAAAGATAATAAAATATGAGCCATGCATCTATTCATCATAAGATTTCTGTCAAATATTTAAATATTCAAATCGAAGATGATGAATCGTCGTTTTGGGAATTTTGATGATGGATTCGCAAATCAAAACATTTTTGTCTTGCTTGTCTGTTCAGTCGAACATCTAAAACAGTGAACAGTCATCCTTTAAGATAGGCAGTAGGATTTATGAAAAAAAGAAAACCCAAAACCAAAAAACAACATGGCCGATACATTATTTCACTTTGCGGGCATATATCTAGAAACTAAACAATTGCAAATAACTGAAATATTAGTTTATATTTGATATTAAGTTGAACAAAATTCTATAAACTTGTGAATAAACCACATTCTGATCCTGTAAAAACAAATAAAGGAACTATAAATTTCAGAGACAGTGTGAATCTACAAATGAGTAAATCAATCATTTATTAACATAGTTGAATCTAATGTCAGAACAAGAAATTATATACCAAAAAAGAACAGTATTGTTTAATTTTACACACAATAGAAAATTGTAGAGAGCCATGATCGCTCACATCCTGAGGTAACATGGCACCTAGAAAAAGAAACTTACAATGAGAAGGCGACAGTTGAAATTTCTGTAATACAATGAAGAAAGAAAACTTGGAGAATATGAAACATTGTATATTTTGAATATGGTAAAAGCGCGTAACCTATGTAAACAGCTTGTTCAAATGAATAGCTGAACAAGGACTCGGACAAATTCTAATGGGACAACTACTGCTTAGAGCTACAAAAGATAGGAAGATATAGAGAACCATGATTGCTGACGTACATAGATAAATTTTGATGTTTCAATTGTATTTATTATAAATATTATAGGTGTATATTCTGGCAGTAATGCTTGAAGTAGGAAACAGAATCAGAAAGAGACGGTTGAAATTTCTGAGACACAATAAGGATAGAAGGTTTGGAGAATTTGATACACACAATATATTGAAGTATGTCTACCCTCGTATAAGAAGGGCAGAATATTCTGGCAGACTGAAATCTCTTGCGTTAGGTGTAAGGAAAACGGTGAATCGCAAACCTTCGAGAATGCAACGTAAATCTATATAATTCTCATTTTCCAAGAAGGCATGTCAAGACACACATAATAAAAAAAAATGAATCTATGGCGAGTCAGTGTCAGTTACATTCAGAAGGGATATGGGATTTTTAACTTAGAAAAGTTTTTTTTAGCAAGGAAAGCTATTAGGTTGGTGCAAAAATAATGACGTAAGAATGTCGTTTTTTGATGTTAAAAAAATACGTCAAAAAACGACATTATTACGTCATTATTTTTGCACCAACCTAATAGAAAAAATATGAATTGGAAGATGAAATACGGTTGCTGAAGAACACACCATAGCTAAGCTTTCGCCTAATTCAAAAATCATAGTCTTATAGTTATGTCTTATTAATCTTAACATTCGGTTAATTAATACCAACTGCTTTTGTTTTTGCGCGGGTGAAGACACAGTTCTCCACAACTTCCTATCCTTTCTATCTGTAATCAATATTTTTCTCTTTACAATCTTTTCCCGTCTTTCTTCTGCTATTCATTTACATATGCTCGTTAGGCAGGTTCGTCGCTTTTCCACTAACCCTTCTTGACTTCGGTATGACCTCTATCTGTCAATATCTCATCTCTCAATATAATCCCTCAAAATGTTACCTGTCTTTTCTGATCATAATCACAGGTGTTGTTTTCCCTTAAAACCTCCTCCATTCATAGTATGCTCAGCATCCTTCTGTGAAACCCCATCTCTGTTGCCTAAAGTTTCCTCTTTATCTGTGAGTCAAGTGCCCAGCATTCACTGTCATAGAAGAACTAAATTCCTTTGTTCTGCCAGGCAAGGACCATCATTTGCTACTTACATTGTTGCAAATCACCTACACGTTCCATCGTTGAGAAGTAAGTCTCACTCGAACAGCTTCTTCCTGCGAACCGCTTCACTGTGGAACCGACTCCCAAGAGGATTTTTCCCGATCATTACAATCTTAACATTTTCATGTCTAGTTAAGCGTTACCTTCCTCTCCTATCCAAACAAAATGCCGCCTAACGTAACCCTCTACCTCGAGTGGCTGCGGGCCTTGTGCAGGGTAAAACTTACTGTAAAAAAGAAAGAAAATAAATAATATTACATAGTAGTTCAGCATTCTTCTTTGTTTCTAATGAAATTTTCCTATTTCTTAATACTTTGTTTAGCTTTTGCATGGCATCTTTCGCTATCTAATGTACCCTCAGGTTTTTACGTCATAATTACTGTCGGAAAAAGTATTACTCACCCTAAAATTATGAATCGTAAAATATAGCAAAAAAAAAACTAAAAAAAAACGAAGTTCTTTCTTCATTTTCATTTATTCTATTTTTCGATTTACGTTTAAGTTATAACTGTATATTAATAATACAAATTAAATATATAATACTAATAGAATTAATATAATACTATTTTACAGTACTACATAATAGTAGTAATATCAATATCAATAATAAAAAAGTATCAATAATAAAACTTTCACGCAATAATAATAACGTGAATCTAATTTATTAACTATTCTATCAGACCAGGGCGCCTATTTCGACCAGAAGTAAGGAATAAAACAATGGAGACTGGATAAATATTTTGATAAAAAATTTCATTGGTAACTACGTTGTGAGATTTTATTTTTCGAATTAAGAAAAAATACCAGCGGTTTTACTTTATTTTTTCTTAATTTTTATTTCTTATTGCTTTTTTTTATTCACGATTAAAGCACAGAGACTATGTATGATAAAAAGCAAATTATTTACCCAATATTTAGTCCGAAAATATAATAAAAAAAATTTAATAAAATAATTTGGACATTTCTTGATATAACTATTCACAAAAATGTTCGGAGATTCGTCTCTAAGAAAATTAGAGATATTGAATTTAAAATGAGGGAGCTATCTATCAAATTATTTATTTTTAAATGGCATATTCATTCAAGATATAGCGATAATGCCCCCCCACACCCACATATTTCTATTCTTTATTATCTGTTAATATCAATAACTTATTGGGGAAAATAGTGGATTCGTTTCCTTTTGTTTTCCCCAGGGTTAATTTATAGTTTCTTTACAGAATCAGAAAGAGGTTTATTAACAAGTTCATAGAATTTCGTTTAACTTAATATTAAATAAAAATTAATGTTTCAGTTATTTGCAATTGTTTGCTTTCTGAGATGTATGCCTGCAAAGTGAAATAATTTATAGGTCATGTTGTTGTTTTTTATTTGTTATTGTGCACCAGAAATTTCAACTGTCTCTTTGTGATTCTAAGTTACATCTTCTAGGTGTCATGTCCCTTCAGGACAGATTAAGTTTTTTATTATTATTTGTAAGTTACCAAGCATTCGTGGGAAAGATATTGGAGTAGTTTCAGCTCGCTTTCTCCACGGTTTCGAATTCGGTGTTTTCCTTTCCTTACTCAGTGTAACCTACTATTCAACCTGGAGGAGAGAATATATATATTCCTGCCTTTTCCGAGGTTAATAGTGCGAAAATGAACGAAACAGGCTAGTGTTGAGTTTCAACTCAGCACGCGGCTTCTTTTGTCAGTACCGATAGGAAAAGTTACACATTAATTGAAAAATCTGTCTATATTTCTGAGATGACGTATTATGTACACTATTTACATTATTTAGACTATTGTCCTCATCTTTGTTGCCATATTTATTACAACGTTTCGGAAGTTGTACGCTCCGGCCTTGTTCAGATGTTTGGAATGTCGAACTGAACCCTTTATGCTAGGCTACAAAAATCTCCTGAGCAGACCAAGCATAGAAATGAATACAATATGGGTAATAAGGAGTGCCAGAGAAAAGCAATAATAACAACAAAAATTGCAATATGAGCACTGGTAAGAAATGGTTACTGAAGACATTAGGTTTATAATACCCAGAATTTCATACACAGATGTCCTCAAGGACACATGGCACAGTGGATAAAGGCGTTAGTTAGATCCAGTGACAGGACTCAAAGAGTGTGAGTTCAATACTCGGTTAAGGCAGTGGAGAACTTGGAGGTGCATTAACAGGAGATAACTGACATCCATTAAACATGGCACGACATTCCAACCACCTGAAGAAGCCTGGAGCTTACAACGAAACGTTGTAATAAATATGGCAACAATAGTCTGAATAATGTAAATCGTGTAATCGAAAAATATTCATAATTATTGCATTAAAGTCCATTTGGCAGACAGTCATGTTCACTAGTAAAGGATTATTTTATGTTAAATATTTTCAGAACGCTGGCGATCATGACTGTCTACATACCGTAATCCTCCATGTATAATACGCCTTCAACCATAATACGCACCCCTAAAACTGTACTGAAAGTGTAGGAAAATACTTCTATTCACGCATAATGCGCACCCCTTGTTTGGGAATCAAACCCTATAGACTGTATCTCTACAGTGTTTCTTACTCTTATTTAAAAATGGCTTTAAACAGAGAATAATATTATTCTAATTTGATTTTATGATAATTCTTATTTCATTTTACATTTTTAAGTATTGTCAGGTACATATGATTGTATTTGACATCCTTAAGGATCGCAATAGCCGAATGTTAGTGTCAAATTGTCGTATGTTTGTGGTGAGTAGTCATTTCGCAACTGAAATCAACCTATTAAATGGTAATTTTTTAAAGATTTTTTGTATGTTTGCATAATACGCACCCCTAATTTTTTTCTTCTTTTTTTTTAGAAAATTGCGTATTATACATGGGGAATTAATGTATTTATATTATTATCTGTTATTTGACATGTATATTGGAAAAATGGTAAAGGGATTTTTATGTTGCCTTCTTGGCTTGAATTATGAAGTTACATGAAACATGACAAAAGATAATAAAACAAAATGGAAAATATAAGGTTCAATGAATTTGATA